TATTATAAGGGATGATAATAGAATGCCCCATATTTAAACAGGTAGAGCTAGTGCCTATAAAAACATAAAGGCAAGGCTCTGACCACCTATAATAAAAGTTTGATCTTTTACTGAAAAATCCACATTCAACCATATAACAATAAAGGGAATGTCCCGCGGCTCCTTCGGTTCTTTGTTATATAGCTTGCATGGTGACAAGCCTTTACAAGAGGAGTGTTCTGTAGCTCCTTGGGTTCTTTGTTATATAGCTTGCATGGTGACAAGCCCCTATAAGGAGTGTCCTGCAACTCCTTGGGTTCTTTGTTATATAACTTGTATGGCCCCTACAAAGGGAGTGTGTTGTAGCTCCTTGTGTTCCTTATTATATAGCTTGCATGGCGACATATCCCTACAAAGGGAGTGTCTTACATCTCCTTGGGTTCCTTGTAAATGACTGTAGCTTCCTTGTTGTGGCCTGAAGTAGCTTGCAACTCCTTGTAAAAGTCTGCAGTTCCTTGTTATAGCCGCAGTTACTTATTATATCTTGCATTGCGACCAAGAAGGTCTGGTGGACCAAGACATGTGTCAAATGGGGTCAGGCCCCTACAAGGGGAGTGGGTGTGTGATCAATACACGCCAAAGGGTAGTGACCTGTGATACCCCTTGATTTTAGAGCCACGGGTGATCAAGTCCGAGCACAGAATATAAGGGATATCAAACAGTTAATATTTAAACAAGCATTTGATTACAAAAGAAATAACTAAGAATAATAAATAGCAGAAAAGAAACTATATAGTAAATCCTTAAATTAGTAAATAATTAATTCTCCAAATGAAATATCCAAAACCTTTAATATCATTACAACTCGGGAATCCATCTAGTGGACCCTTAATGATAACCAAACTGAAACAACTGAAATTAAACATAATCCGAAACTAAAACATAAAGAGAACCCTACGTAGAACCAGAAGAGTGATGTGGACTATCTTTGCTCAGCACGAACAAGCCCCATGTCTGAAACTGACGAACACCTGAAAAATAATAATAGTGGGTCAGGCCTACGAACAAGTTCTTTCTGCGACAACCCAAATAGAGACCGTATAAACTATATATCCATAGCTAACCCATGCAATAACTATATAGTCCATACTACATATACACACTAAAGGAACCTCACTAGACTATAGGGTTGCCTCAACCTGAGTAGTAGGCAACATGCAAAACGCACATATAGTGGGCATGAATACCTAGACCTACCAGGGCACACAACCACACTATATCTAGCTACACATTACTGGCAATATACGCACCATATCCACCAATCCTGAGACTCAAGCTCATATCATGGCATATGCCTCTATATATATATCCTCCATTATGTATCATCCAACTTGTTCAGTTGGCCTGACACAAATATAAGTAGGACTTAACATTTTAGTTAATCCGTTCCCTTATAAAATAGGTAGGACTTAACTAATAAGTTAATTCATCCCTAAAGTGCCACCATCCCATACTGGTGCACTACATCCACACAGTCCAATAGTTGATGTAACAATTAAAGAAGTTCATCAAATAATCCAGAATAAACATAATAATATGATATCATGTTATCACATAGTAGGAATGACTTATAAAATTATTTAAGTTTCCTACATCACATATCCTACACATACTGAATCTTAAACAGATTGATATTTTATTATACAATCATGCAATTATTCTCCATATACCATTCATGCTATACATTTTATCTTAATTGTTAGAACAAATTAAAGACTATATCTATTCATTCCTTAAAGAATCAAATAACATGTGTTAATATATTTAAGTTTGTTTGAAATTCATTTAATCTCATTCCTAGTTCTTATTTAATGTTTAGGACTCCTCAAATTCAATAAAAAGTAATACAACGCTATTTCCGAAACTTCCCTAGGTAAGGCTCGAGCTTTTGTCCCAATTGCTCGAGCAACCTGTTTCAGGCTCGAGCATCCTACTTTATGCTCGAGCTTTTCACCCAATTACTTGAGTTTTTCCTTTCAGGCTCGAGCTTTACATCCAATTGCTCAAGCTTTTCCTTTCAGACTCGAACTTTTCATCCATGGCTCGAGCTTGGTCCTCAAGGCTCGAGCATTGTATCAACGACTCAAACCATGTTTACGCAATTCAACCCAGAATTTTACTGTAAACCCAAATATTTATTGTTTAAGGATTCTAAGGCATGTTTTCAGGTTCCATCAATATACAGATATGAAAATACATCATGTAAAACACGTAACAATTCATAAAGTAATCAAATCAAATCTTCGAATTTATTAATTAATACAACAAGAACAACCATGGAATATAATTGATAAAACCTATGTTCTAGATCAATTAAATTATAAATTTCAATTTTAATTGTTTTATACATAACGCTAAGATTATACTCTAGATATAAATTTCACAGATCAAAGGAGAAGTGTAGAACAAAGAACTTGCCTTTAGGGATTTGATAAAAACCCTAGCCTCCTTCTTCTTCTTTCTCTCTCTCTCTCCAAAATATTATATGTGATATGTTTCTAATCATTTTTTCAACCCTATAGTTGTATATTTAAAGGTTAAATAAATAACCCTACTCCTTTTTCCAATCCACCTCAAATTAATAAAGAAAAATAATAAAAATAAAAATACAAAAAAAGGTAACTAAAAATATATGTTACGTATGATCTATGTATATTATTTTTATTTACATAAAATAAATATATTAGATTATCACCAAAGGACTTTCCTTAAATAAACATAGGTATATTTAATTATATAGATATACATACACCCTATTCATGGGTATTTATCCGTACCTATTAAATCTCTTATCCAAATAATCCATGGAACCCAATTGGTTGACCCATGACTACTATCCATAACCATTAAAATAAAATGAAATAAAATAAAATAAAACAACCATTTAAAATATTTAATTCATAACCATTAATTACAACAAAACATCTAACACATAATTCAACTAAACAAGTATTTCAAATAAACACATAATCTGCTAAACAAGTATTTCAATTAAACACATAAGTAATTAATTCATATAAATAATTAAACAAATAGCCAAGAAATCAAATAAAGAATTAAAAATACAATTAAAATAATTAATAAAAATACCGAGACTGTCCTTTTAAAATTAGGGGTATTACACGACCCCCCGTAAGGAAACAGGGATACAAAACAACTTACATTTCGTTAGTTTGACATGCAAACACGGGAATGGGGGGCAACTGATACGGGCTCTGCAATCCAACAAGGAGTCTAACAGGCACGGAAACTAAGGGGTCAGATAAAGTACAATTAATGAGGCAATGTGGATAGAGAATAATACTCTTATCCGTATTGGACAAGTAAAGGGAAATTAATTTCGTTGTTAAATATTACAACCCACCCTAAAAAAATGGTAGTCATTTAACTTAAAAGTTATGCCAATAATTCAATATAAAGTCTTATTTGACTTATAATAATTCAAGTACTAACTTGATCGTCGGAGATCACGTCGTTTTTCACTTCGCTCTTGTCTTGTAAGAAACGCCCCGGCTCTAGACCGTGTAGATCTTTGCGACAATATGACCAATCACTGTGGCGACTGTGGTCAAACCACTGTCCTTAGCACTCCTCTTATACCAAATTTGATTTGTTGCCTACTACTTTATGCAACTCAATATTACGGAGTGCTCAAATTTTTTTGGAGAAAAAAAGGTTGGGCTTAGGCTGGAGAGCTTCGGTTAAAAGTCCAATCAGATTTAGGTAATATTTGGGTTGAGCATACAATATGGCCCTGTTTGGTGGATGTTCCGTGCTGTGCTGTTTTGCTCCCAATAGTGCTACAGTAGCACTATTGAGGCCCAAAACATGTTTGGAATAGGCTGTGCTGGTCTGAACAGTATCAGAACACTTTGCACTATTTGGGCCAAATGTTGGAACAAAAAAAACTTGTTCCAAGTGTTCCACAAATCATTTCAGCCTCCCAATCGCCTTCATCTTTATTCTCGTTCTCAACTCTGAACTTGCCCTATTCTCTCTTTCTCTCTCTACAACTGCAGAGTACAAAATCTACAAGGATCAGAAGTCCCACCTCCATTTCTATTCTCGTTCTCAACTCTGAACTTGCCCTAGTCTCTCTCTTTCTCCCCCTCTCTCTCTCTCTGCAACTGCAAAGCTGTATGGGTTTTGTTTTAATTTTTTTTAGGGCAAATCATTTCAACCTCCCAAACGCCTCCAGCTCTATTCTCGATCTCTGTCCCTGTAACTGCAAACTTGTGGGTTTTGTTTTAATTGTTTTTTTAGGGCAAATCATTTCAGCCTTCCAAACGCCTCCATCTCTATTCTCGATCTCTGTCTCTGCAATTGCAAACTTATGGGTTTTGTTTTAATTGTTTTTTTAGGGCAAATCATTTCAGCCTCCCAAACGCCTCCATCTCTATTCTCAATCTCTGCAACTGCAAACTTGTGGGTTTTGTTTTAATTGTTTTTTTAGGGCAAATCATTTCAGCCCCCCAAAAGCCTCCATCTCTATTCTCGATCTTTCTTTAAATGGACCCATTTGAGAACAATTGGATGATGACAAAATTATCAAAGATTGGCATTCTTTATTTCTATTCAACAACGTATGGATAGTTCCTCGATTTTGGTTAAGGGATTGTTGAATCTTTGCCTTGGAATGAATGGAAGAAAACGGATTGATATTGTCTCTCTTTCCAACTGCAAACTTGTGGGTTTTGTTTTAATTTTTTTTAATTTAAAATGATTATAAAAAAATAATAATAATAATTTCTATTCCAAAATTCTCAGAACAAAATTTTCGTTCCAAACATGTTTTGTTCTCCTTTCAGAACACTACATCACACAACACTTGTTCTGTTCTAGGTTAGAGCAGTACACTACACTTCCCAAACGAGCCCATGGGTAGACCCACAACCCGCCCCGCTTTGCACCACTACCTAGTACCTACCCTAATTCCAAGCAGCTCATACCGAGCACTCTGAATGGGCGGGGTGTATACAAAGAAGTTGTCGGACAAACTTACGGAACTCTAGAGAGTGAAGAGAGGAGGATTTAGAGAGAGAACAGAGGAGAGAGAGACTAGCAGATGGCTGAAAAAGCTGTACTTGGATTCCTACAAAAGAATGAGGAAATTTCAGACTCGGGTCAATTCGCTGTCGAGCGAGGAATCGATCACGATGACATCGTCAACGTCATCAAGAGCCTCCGTGGTTTCGGCTTCGTCGATGCTCAGGTGCCTTCTTCTTCTTCTTCTTCTTCTTATAAATGTCCTATCTACATGTTGTTCAATGCGATTGGGACGTTTGTAAATTTGTTTATATGATCAAATCTCGTGTGGTAACGCAAATTATGTTAATAGCTTCATATAAATTAATATAATCAATTTTCTATCAGTGCTTCTGAGCTAACTTGTTTTGGTCAATTCAAAAATATGGCGAATTATGTCCCGTTCGAATGAATGTTAACCCAAGTCGATCCAGCTTTTATTTTGAATCCAAGTGTTAGTCAGTTACACAGCTTGAACAGTATGTGTTTGGGTTGTATTACATATCAACAAGAATAAAACTAATGAACAATTCAAGTTAGAACATTGTAGTAGTCTTGATTGAATGTTAAATCTGCATGGGTGCTCTCATTTTTTATTTTTTTAGAGGTGTCTTCTTTTGATGGAACTATGGAAATACTATACGTTGTTCCCATTACTCCTTATGGTTAATATTGGTAGATGTCAAAAAATAAGGAAACGGAAGTGTGAACACATTGTTTTTCCTGGATAAATTCGTGTTGGATATGTTCCATCTTATCTACCATTAGCCCATGATAAGAGAAAGATCAAATGAGTAAATGGAAGCGAATATATGTGTGTAATATATATATACACATACATAAAACAACATAAAACAACAAGGCATACAGTTGGTACTATGTATATAAACGTACACACGTCTTACTGTAATAATGGTCCTTGCGAAATTTGTTCAATATAAAAAATGTTAAAATACTACTCAAATAATAATATTTAGACATTAGTATGTCATCCAATTTATCCAATTAGGTCTTTTGTGATGATGGCAGGCCAACAGAAATACTCAAGGAGAATGTAGGCTATAAAAGTAGTAAAAAACAACAGAACCAAGGAAAGGAGTCTGTTGAGAGTATTGAATATCAAAAGTGGCACTTATTTAGGTTTTCATATGATTGATAGGGGCCTGAAACATGGGGATTGTAAAGCTCTGTTAGATGAAATATCTTCTAAACTTAATGGCAGGGGTCCCCTCAATCTTTCACTAGCTAGCATAATTGAGTTGGTTAGGTCTGGTGTTCTCTATCATTCAATATTGGTATGCTTCATCTAAGTTACCTGTTGCTACAATTTCTTATATTGAAAGGATGGTTAGAGATTTTATATAGGGCTGCGAGGAGAATGCTAAGAAACGAAGTGGAGTAGAGTCACATGTCTTGAGGTAGAGGGGGGTTTTGGATTAAGGAAGGTTTTTGAAATTGATAAAGCTGCAAATGCTATTTGTTTTGGGACTTCATTCAAGGAAAAACAGGTTATGGGTGTCTTTGCTTAAAAATTTGTATGCTCAATCATCCTCTATATGGACCTGTGTTGTTAAACAGAAGACTCCATGTTCTGGAAACATCTTGTGGAAGTTAGAGACTTCATAGCCCAAATTGCTTTGTTTCAAATTGGGTATGGTAGGTCTTTGAAATTATTTCTTGATTCTTAGGGGAATTTCTTTTCCTTGCTCCAATTCTATGGTCATAGGATTATTAGAGAGTTTGACTTGCCTAAAAATGCTAATATCCATAAGGTTTTACATAATGGTAGTTGGAAAAGACCCAACTTCTTGGCTGTTGATGCTGAAGACATATCGAACATGAAGCTCTGATATCATCAGGTGGAAACATGAAATGTCTTCATTTAAATCTTTCTGAAAATATTGCAGAATACAGGCTCCTAAAAAGTCATGGTCTAAACTTGTTTGGTACAGCAACACGTATTACTTCCTGTTTAGTTTAATAGAATAAACTTCCCACCTCATCCGATCTTCAAAAAAGAGACGTGCACTGTTTCAGTTTGTCACAACTGTTTGAGGAATTTTGATGTGTTAGAGCACCTTTTCTTCAACTGCAATTTTGCTCAAAACCTGTGGAAATGGATTGTGGATCTTTTTATTTGGGATTGGAGTACAGTAGGAAACTTTAACCAATTAATTCAATGGTTTATGTCCCAATCTGCTGTGAAATCTAAGAAAAGCAAAATTATGAAATCAGCGTTGTTAAAGGTGCGCTTAGGCTCCAAGCTCATACAGGCGCAACACTTGCGCCTGTTGTGTGCCCAAGTGCGCCTTTAGGAACATTTGTGCCTTATCATGGAATACGAATATGTTTTAATAGTAATTTAATTTTTCAATTGTGCGCCCTGCTTCACTTAAGCGCGTGCCTCGCCTTGTGCCTAGGCTCCAAAGGACCTCTAGCGCCTTAGTGTGCCTTGGGCCTTTGATATCACTGTATAAAACTGATTTTCACTCGTGTCATTTGGCAATTATGGTGGACTAGAATCAGTGTCCTCATGATGGTGCTACTTCTAGAATTCCTCAGGTTGCTGGGCAAATTATATGGAATGTTGTTATATTGGGTGTCTAGCTGCAGGATATGGTTGATCCAAGGCTTTGGCTTTGGCTTTGGCTTATGCATTTTCTTTGTTATAGACTCACTGTGAGGAACCTTTTTTGTTACTGTTTAGTTCTTTTGCTCCCATTGTTTTCTTCTTTTTCCTTCTGTTTTTGTTGGCCAGCTTTTGGAAGTGGGCTTTTTTAGTGTTGTAATCCCTTGTATGCGTTTGATTGTTGTTCCAGAGACTTGTGGTTCTCTGTTTTTTGTTTTACTGGTTTGTCGGTAATAAAATGGTACGTAGGGAACAAAAAAACACATCAGAACCAGACTAAAACATGAAATAATAGCCATTGGAGCAATGTAGAAGGCCGCATGTTGATAGTGTTTAATCATCCAACTTCTTCTTAGATTGATCTTTATTGTTATTTATGTAAAATTAATACCAAAGTGGTTAATAATAATTCTACTTCCTAAAATAGTCATCTATAACAGGGTAAGGAGTTTCCAGGTAAATTATTGTATATGCACATCATGTAACAACACTTCATTTTGGAAGATCATTTTTATGTTGGATCAGCTTATGGTTTTACTCTCAGGAATGTAAAATAAGTTGTAAAATATCTATGCTCTGCCGGAAATTGTGCAGGACATCAAGAGGGAGAAGTGGGTTCTCACTGATGAGGGGAGAGCATATGCAGCTGCTGGATCACCAGAAGTACAGTTTTTCTTTGCCATACCAACAGAGGGTATCCCGCCGGAAGAATTGCAGGTTTGCACCCTTTAGATTTAGATTCATGAGCAGTGTGGACATTCTGGTCTAATGCTTGAAATAACAGGATCATCTAAGAACGTTCACTACTCTGTAATTGCCTTTTGCCATGCAAGAACCGAGATATAGTGAAGCTGCAATAAGCATTAGATTCAGCACAAGTGGGTTCATTTTGCAACTCAATTCTTTGGAATTTAGGGTTCATGCTTTGATTGTACAATTGTTCCTCGCTTTTTGTTCAACTCAAAATATCTACTTGTTCTGGTATACCTGTTGCAACTATTGGATATGTGGTTATGAAATTTGATTTCAAATTAGAAATATGAGTCAGTTTATCTGGTTGATTAAAATCAGGGCGCGACGCCTACTTAACAACCTGACAGTTTGATGTAGATATTGGGTTTATTTTATTTTATGTTTTTATTTCATAATTTATGTACTTTGATTTCCTCTTGAATTTTATGATTTATGCCCCCTAGAAGATTATTCTTGAGTTTTTGTTTGTTTGTTGAAAGCTGTTTTGATGGATATTGATCTTTGCTACAGCGAAAACTTGATTCTTCCATTTTCAAAATAGGGCGCTCACAGGCCATAAAGAATCAATGGGTGGAGATGGGAAAACAACGAGTGAGCAGGAAGGTAAACACACGAAAATTCTCACATTTGCTAGATCTAGGGAGCTAAAATATTTCTTTTAAGAAATTCTAACAGTTTTGAAATTTGAAAAAGTTGAAAACCTGCTTTCTAGACATGGTATGTCTGAATTGTGACCTTTTCGGGCTGTAATATAACAAATTAAGTCTACATGTCCGGTGAAGTTTTGTACCATATGTACTGATTTCACCTAGAAATGCCTTCTTCCTTCTTTTTCTGTTTATATTCATCTGTTCGCTCATCTGGTTTACTCTTAATCTCTGTATAAACGTGTTTGTCTCTCTTTCCCCCCCCCCCCCCTCTTTTGTGTGTGTGGTGAAAGAAGGCGAGGTGGTCTGGTGAGTTGGATCAGACAATGTTTAATAACTCATCCTCCATGTATTGTTTATCTTTAATCTCACTCCATGGTTGGGCTCCTGATGTTGCCTATAATGTTTGCATATAATTTTGTATCGTTTGCGTCAGTTAACCCTGGAACTTTTTAGTATCACTTCACACTTATATCGCACACCTTTGAGTTAAAGATCAAAGAGTCTGGAAAAGTATGTGTCTTGGGTACCATGTACGTCTGTCTAGTTTATTTATTTTTTGTTGCTTAATATGGATCATTCACCCATATTTCTGATTGGTTTTTCATTTTTCAATTCTTAGGCTCCATTTGTTTTGACGTTATTATTTAATTATAAAATATTTTACACGTAATTATTTTGTTTTCTTTCTTGTCAGATGATTTTTTCTTTTTATTTTCCAGTGTTTGGCTTCATTTCTGAAAATATTTTCCAGAGAAACATTTGCAATCAAAAGGTCTAATTTTATTTTCAAAATATATGAAAATTTGAAGTGAAGACAATATTAGACCTGAGGTTGTGCTACACTATTTTATATACGGAATATATATTCTGTAACATATTTACAATTTTTTTTTATTTGATAAATAAAAATGTATTAGAAAGTGATCAAAAGGGGATCACATCCCAAGAGAACTACACAAGGCCAAATGGGGCCTCTAAACCCTCAAAAAGCCCATAAAATCAACTATCTCCTCTAAAGATCTATAATTTCTCCCTACAACCCAACACAAAAGAGTGGTAATAATGGAGAATTTCAGCACGTGAATAGGAGTTTCCTCTCCTTCGAAGGATCTCCTATTTCTTTCAAGCCATAAACACCACCAAACGCACAAAGGCGTAGACCTCCAAATGTACTGGACTTGGGCCCCCACTATACACCCTCTCCAAGCCTCGATAAAACCCCTGGAAGACCTGGGCATAACTCACTGAACCTCAAATAATCTGAACAACAAGTCCCAACAATCCCTGGCCACCTGACAACGTAAAAGTAGGTGATCAACTGTCTCCTCATGTCTAAGGCACATGCAACAACAGTTGACTACAATTTGATTTCTTCTCTTCAAATTATCCTGAGTTAAGATCTTTCCCAAGACAGCAGTCAACGCAAAGAAAGCCACCTTTAAAAGGGCTTTGGACCGCCACACTGCCTTCCATGGAAACACAGCCCTTGGCATCTCATTCAGACAGCTAAAGAAAGTCCGAACAGAAAAATGCCCGAGATGAAGGAACCCACCTCCAGGAATGTAACATTTTTACATTGGCAAAGGAGCAATTTAGAAAACGCAACAAAGGAAACCTAGAAAGCAAATATTGTTTCTGATTATATTTTCCAAACCGATCCTTGATTCAAATCCCAACCCCAATGCAACCCTAACCCAACAATTAAAGTTGTCCTCAATAGCACTGCAACCCTAGCTTCACCATTTACCTCTTTATCATTTATGATGTTTTTCCACGGCACAACCACAGAGTCTTACAACTAGAGGAAGAATAAGGAACACTAGTCCAAGACAATTAAAATGCTCAAATGGATTAGTTGTCTTTGTCTGAATCTGTAAATATATATGGATAGAAAAAAGAACACAAACAGAAGATGAAGGAGAGATCATTGTGTTCGAATCTGTAAAATCTTCTCTGACTATATACTTTGTTGCTTTCGAATATGATTGAAATTCTTTGGGCAATGATGCGCAGTGGCGTAGCCACGTAGGGACAAGTGGGGGCAGTTGCCCCCACTGAATTTTTAATTTTTTTAATTTTTTTTTTTTAATTTTATATAGAAAGATTTTTATATTTGTATAATTGTTCCCACTAAAAGTTGACATTGCACATAATCTTTCCAAAAAAGGAATATAATCTTTCCAAAAAATATGATATTAAAGAATATAATCTTTCTAAAAAATATGATATTTTTTTCCACTTTCTTAAAATATTATATTCTTTCACACTTTCCCCAAAAATACAAGATATTCTTTCACAATTTTGACTTTACTATAAACAAATGCGTTGTTAATTTTCAAAAATTCACAAAATCCAAACAAATACTGGCGGAAACAGGTAATCTGATATATATATTTTTATCATCTAAATTTACTGTTATTATGCCATGAACATTTTTAAAACTCACCTGCGCTGTTTAATTTTTACATATATTATTTTGGTTCAAAATATATATATATATATATATATATATATATATATATATATATATATATATTGGTTCAAATAATATATATATATTATTGCTGTTAAAAATTGCCCCCACTGAAGGAAATTTCTGGCTACGCCACTGATGATGCGTGCAATCGAGATGGTCAAGTACAAATGGAAAATGACTTACGGGTATTAAAACTGCAAGTCATTCTTTTAAAAATGATGGAAATCATTTTATGAGAAAAATATGTTACTGAATATTTTTGCAGCCAAATGCCGGAAAACACTGAAAAAGTTTTCTGGAAAATGATTTACGTCGAAACAAGCGGAGCCTTAATTCGTGTTTCATTTGATCACCATCTACTTCCAAGCTATTTCATTAACTTCATCTGCTGTCCTTTGTGTTTATAGTTGAGCTCATCCTCTTGAATTCTTCAATGGCTCAATGCAGTCAAATACTTGATGCGGTGTGTATATAAAAACTTGTGGTTGAGGTGGATGTGTGGTTGAGGTGGACGTGTGCTTCCTTTTATAAATCATGTTTATTATACCAAAATGGATGTGTGCTTCCTTTTATAAATCATGTTTATTATACCAAAATATTATTCTTTAGTCTACTAAGACTGGTCACTTTCTGTAGATTCTACATGTAGAAGACAAAGTTAAAGATTTACTTATACGGGTACAAGATGGAGAGGTGCGCAATATCTTTCATTGATTACTTGCATCAGTCCGTTATATCTTTGATAATTGACTATTTCTTTTTCTGATTCGCTGTTAAATTCAACTCTGTTTTTCTATGAAAAGAAGTAGAAGGACTAATTTGAGTTATATGAATATTAACAGTCTTTATTTTATAGTATGAGATACTTATCTGGTTTACAGAAAGAATCATGTTTCTATAGCAGAATTATTATGCTAAAATGGGGTATAACAACTGACATGCACTTGGGAACCATCTCAACCATCTATTAGCCAGCTATTTAACCTTCATATGAACACGTCTCATATCTCATATATATATACAGTTATAAATTAAATTTGTTTCCTGTAGAAATTTGAAAGCAACATTGATTGTAATGACTTCTTACAATATATAATGTGTTTATACTTGCTTTACTGCCTTGGTTTATTGTTCTTTTGCAATATGATTGCTATTACAGGCCATTAATCCAGAAGATATTGACGCTCTCAAAAGAAGAAAGCTTATTGCTCCCCAGTAATTGTCTTCTTCTTGTTTTTTTAATATACCTTCTTTAACTGTTCAGTTATCAGTTCCCTCCCTCCCTCCCTCCCTGCCCCTCTCTCTCTATCTATCTCTTGCATTTGGTTGGTTGTTGGAACTTTTTTCTAGAAAATATTGGTCATGCTTCCTGCTAATATTCCTTCAAGCTAGAGAAGTTTTCACATGTTTGTTAGGCTTCTTACAAGTACCTCTTTTTTTTTTTTCTTTTTTTCTTTTTTTGTACCGTCAATACTCATTAATTTATTTTCTGTCAAGGACATGGAAGGGATACTCGGTAAGAAAAGGTGCTAATTATGCTCCAGAAAGGAAAAAAGTTGCTACTGATTTGACTCGAGATTATCTGCAAAGGTAGTCCACATTTTGGGATTCATATTTCTTGAAATAAACTTACTTTCCATACCCTTGATTTTGAAGCAGTGGGGTTAATGATAATTTCTGGGACATTAGATTGAATGCTCAAGTTCTGCTTTAAATAGTATGAATCATAAGATATGGATTTTTCCCCTTAGCCTTTTCTAGTGAGATATGGATTGTTCAATACTCTTTGAAGGGAGGACCCTCCCTCACCCTAGACTCTTGACATGTCAGAGTATGCACGGTTCAAACTAGATGCCTGTTAAATCTAATTTCTTAAGGTCTTTTAAAATTACTTCGTCCCATGTTAACTTTCGTCCCATGTTAACTTTGGTCTATCTCTTCCTCTCTAACCTTCTATTTTAACTAATAATCCTTGTTTAGTGGGTGCATTTTTGGTCTATATTGTATATAATCATACCATCTTAGTCTATTTTATCTTATTTTATCACTAATAGGTGTCATATCTAAGCCTACTTTATTATAATTGTCAATGAATGATTTCTAAATTGATTATTTCAATTCAATTTTCTAACAGTTGTGCATTATTACTTTTTCATGCTTATGTGAATTACCAATTAATTATCTAGTCCGAACACATAAAGCAATAAAGTAAAACAAAATAGTCATCAGCAAAAGTTACTTCAAAAGCTATCAATCGATAGATTGATTGATTGATTGATGTAACCGTGGGCAACGTACATGGGGACTAGAAGGGGCCATGGCCTCCTCACTTTCTTTATTTAATTTTATAAATTCCTATTATTATGTACATGAAGTGCGCCCATTAAGAAGATTGATATGGTCCAAATTGAGGGTAATGCGAGCGGATGGATGAGCAAAATTAACATGGGTATAGTTAGTAAGGAAAGATCTGATAATATGTGCTTTGACTGTGGCTATCTCCTTAGATGGAACACAACGGAAAAATATAATTCATTTTGCTGACTCCAAGTTGGAAAAATTCTTCATTGAGTTGATTTCAATTGAGTATGTACTATATGAACAGTAGGATCGAAATGGAAACATTTAACTTGTGACCCTCTCTAACTCTGAAGGAAATCTTAATTTGGGATCATTTTTACCTTACTTTTAGTAGCTTCTACTATAAGGGGAAAAATATAAAGAATACCTAAATGTTGAGGGCCTGTTTGATATATATATATTTTTTTCCTAGTTACTGTTTGATTTAGTTTTCTGAAAACAGTTCTCAAGAACACAAAAAATATAATTTGTTTTCAAAGAATTATAAAACACAGTTCTTTGAAAACAGACTTTTTTAACCCAGTTTTCAGAAAACAATTTTTTAAAACCGTCAACTAAACAGATCTTTGGTAAAGTTTTTCTGCTTATAAAATGGAATACTGTTCTCAGAAAATTGAACCAAACAGGCCCCAAGTATTTTCGTTTTAGTTGTAACATTTTATTTATTTCTTAATTTAGTAGTAACTCAAGCCTAACCCAAGCCTAATCCGACCAACATAAGCCTAACCCATAGCCCAACTTGATCAATTTGAGCCTAACCTGAATTTAGAAAAATATGTTTGGCTTGGGCTCGGTTTGAGCTATTCAGTTTGGAGTTCAAGTTGGCACAGGTTTGTAGTTCGAGTTGACTACTCAATCCACCCAACCCTCGTGATTTGCACCCACAGATGTGACGATTGATGCATATTGCTGAGTTAGCCAATTTCGAGTAAGATTTTGATCTTGTACAACAGGTTTGAACAAACGAAGTTCACTACTTCGAAATTTGATATATATATATATATATATATATATATATATATATATTATCAACAATGTGTTTCAACCATTTTCAATTCTCAAAATACGTAGGTCATGGGTAATTTAACTATCTAACGCATTATTCAACCTAGATTTCTGGGTCCACTAGGTCTTTCACATATTTCTAGTTTGTTGAATCTCATTGTAGTCTTTGTGTTACCTCCATCTTCATCATCTTCAGTTGTAGTTTCTCATGAAACATACTGACTTAGAAATTGTCATCTATGACCTAGTTTTGTGTAAGAATTTGCCAATACAAGACTCAATTTTCCAACACTTTAATGACCAGCCAATAAAACAGAGCAGTTTCAAGTGTGGAAAAAATATTTTGTCATTATCTACATATTCCATGGTTTATAAAAGTGTACCCAAAGGTATTTCATTGATTGACCTTTAAGCTTGAATGGTCTGTTATGTATCTTGTATGGTTATCATTACAAATTTCCAAATTATCATTGACTTTTCTTAATTATTATTTTTTAGTTGTTTTAAGATAAGGTGATGCTACCTATTGTCATTTTATCCTGTGATATTGCTCTAGTCAACAAGTGTGCACACTTTAAGGGCTTGTTATTAACTATTGTTTGAATAAATTGAATGGATGTGGATTACTCATATACATCCTGGCTATCATCCTAATTATAACTATATTATTTGTTTCTATTGTATTATGTACCATTGGAAGCATAGATGTTAGCTTTAGCGTATTGGGTTATTTACTCTTTAGTAATGGCTAGCCTGTTGTACCACAAAAAGAAAAGTAGACCTAGGCTTATCTTAAAAAAGAGGAGCCTTGATGTCAGTTGCTTATCTGTCTTCAAATTTAAAATTAACCATGAGTGGAATGTACAGTTTGTCTAGCTGAACTTATCTATTTGTTTTTGTTTTGTTTTGTTTTTATTTTTATTATTTTTTCCCGGGCTCAAAGAGGTGATTGGAAGGAATTGGAATTCAAAGAGTACAACTTTAGTGCCAAAGGTCAGCCTGCTGAAAGTGGCCATCTTCATCCGTTGCTCAAGGCAAGAATGTCATTTTTTCTTTCCTTAGTTTAATTTATGCTGAGTGGCCCGAGCCTTATTCCTTGAACTTATAAACATTTATGTTTGCAAATAAGGGAAAATCTAAATAGTTGTGGGATTGTCCATGAATCAAAGGGATCAAACTTTTTGTTTTATGTAAAGAATTATATAGTTTAACCCTTATCAAAAAAAGAGGAAAAAAGAGGGAAAAAAAAGAAAGAAAGATATTTTAGTTTAACAAATTAAGGTGGTTAAATTATTAGACATTTTGTGAATCATTATGTTTGTAAAGTATAAGTGGGCTAACATTGAACTTGTAATAGTCTGATTGATGGCTCTTTATCCACAAATTTATTGAAGTTATGACCTGCATTTTATAGCAACAAAGAATTACTTTTCATCATAAATAAATATATTTTTGTGTGTTCAGTGAAAGGTTTGAAATTTTATAAATTTTATAATCAGTTGTGCAACGGCAAAATTTGGTGAAACCTTTGTTCTCTCTCCCAAAACAGCTGGGCTAAGAGACCTGGGTGCCACTTGAGTACTTGACTATTGCACACGTAACAACTCCGTGAAATGTCAAGGCTGCCACTTGGTGAATACTTTTTGACGAAAGGGTACCTGATAATTAGGGGAAGAGGCTATAAATATTGATGTTGTCAGCAGTTAACTATCGGACAGTTCACACAGATAACCTTTGCCTGACAACAAAAACATTAGGCATGGCGAGGAATTTTATCAACTGCATTTTATTGCATTACTTACCATCATAAAGCTTAGGTGATGCACCTATTCATAAGATTACTGATTCTGAACATATCTTAATTTCAGGTACGGCAACAATTGCAGATGATCTTTCTTCAGATGGGGTAAGGATGGATCTTTGTTCTATTCTATGTTAATTTTTTTGTGCATATTGAATTGTGAAGGTAGAAAGTTTGCATCCCCCTATGTATTTTTTCCTCATATATTTGCTTTAGTCCTCTTAAAGAAGTGTTTGTTTTTTCTGTATTCGATGTTATGCGAGTTCATATCTCAACTTCAGTTTCTAGAACAGTGATAGTCGTCAGTTTATGATGTTATGTACCATTTTATTTATACATATATGATAAATACACTTTAGGCACTGACCAAAACAAATAAATTTACTAGAGAAATTTCTATCAACAAATAAACACCATTATCAATGGGTTTAACTCCTTATACGTTTGTGAGCTTAATGAGATACATAACACCACCACAATGGATTGCTGAGAATTCTTTTTATGAACTCAATTATAATGTTACAAAATTGGCAATGGTGATAGAATATTAAAATTAAAAAATTTGTAGAAGTTAGGAGTGAAATAAATGGTTAATTTGACATTACTCATATGGGGCTGCGTAGATACTTTCTATAGTGACAGTATGGGGCTGCGTAGATACTTTCTATAGTGACAGTAACCCTACACACGCTTCCTTGCATAAAAATTTGCATGATCTATCAGAGTATCTCTGTTTTTGAGGTTGACATTGTTGTAAATTGGTTGCTTACTGGATGCAGATTTGAGGAAATGCCCACGAACAATTTTGCTGAAAGCAGGTATCTGATATCTCTTTGCTTTTGTGCATTTATATATATCAGTCTGTTGAGTTTCTGATAACAGATCAGCATCATTTTTAGCTTTATTTAGTTAACACCTAGATTGCTAAGTTAATGTGTTGAAGACTAAGATGTTACATGAATGATACACAAGACCACATTTCGATGCATTTTTTTTTTTTTTTTTTTTTTTTACCTTGGACGGAAAATGAGGTGCAAGTAATGCTAATATTTTTTCTTGGAATTATTGATGACCAATGAAGCATGCTTGTTAGTAATTTTCCGGGTTTTTTTTTTTTTTTTTTTGGGTTGGTTGCGTATTTTTTCATCATCTATCAGGCTGTTTTTTTAGTTGGGGCCACACTCAGGGAATGCATGTGGATTGGGAGGGCGGGGAATAGATTGCCTATGTTCCTGGTGGTGGATTATGGGGTGCTCTAAAGAGGCCTGACCACCATCGTCGACCCCCCCCCCCCCCCCCCCCCCAAAAAAAAAAAACTTATAGCAATCACCAAGAGGTTACTTTTGAACTATAAATAATTTGCTACATCCTATGATTCTTTTATATCCTTTTTGTTTCAATTTGCAGCTTCTGGAATTTTGATGCATTATTCCAGCCGCAGCAACACCCTGCTCGTGATTCTCATGATACATTCTTCTTGCAAGGTTAGTTTAACTATGATTTTTACATTCTTCTTGCAGCTTTTGGAATTTTAATGTTCATTTGGTATATTTATAGCTCCTTCGACCACAAAGATGCTGCCTGAAGATTACGTTGAGCGGGTGAAGCATGTTCATGAGATTGGTGGTTATGGGTCCCGAGGGTATGTAGCTTGTCTTTTGTTTTTTTCAACTCCGCTGATTTTCTGTCAAAAAGTGTTTGTGACAAATTCTCTTCTTGCAGGTATGGATATGATTGGAAAAGAGAGGATGCGGACAAAAATGTTCTACGAACTCACACAACTGCTGTTTCCTCGAGGATGCTCTACTTACTTGCACAGGTTTGTCTTTAAATATTCATAGGTCTTTTTATTCCAATCCACTAAAAATTTGTTTTTAATGCTTTTGTATCAAAAGCACATTTTTGGGAGTTTTAAGTTTGGGTGAATTTGCACATTTTTTTTTGGGTGGGGGGTAGGTATATTGGGGTAACCTTGTTAAGAACTCACATGGGGAGGAGAGTTGGCCTAGGTGATGGCCCAGAAACTGGATGTCTCAGGTCCATCTCTTCTCGGGCTTACTTGATGCACATGGTCTGCAAATGATTGTGCATGTAGGGGTTAGTCTCAACTCAAAATGGGTTGGAGACACCCTAGCATAACCAAAAGAAAAGTATCAAGGCAATAAGGTACTTGATTCAGGAAGTATGAGTTTAACTTGGCTCAACAAAGTGATTTAATCCCTTGTATAAGATCATAAGATTTTGAACTTGGATGTTGGTGGTACAATCCCTGTGGCCTGTTGCCTGGTTCAACTGTTTAATGCTTGATTTCAGTGCCACTTGTGTGAGTTCGAGCCTCAGGGCAACTACTTTGTAAAATATCAAAGGTTAGGTCTGTCCCTAGCCATCCCTCCCACGACCCTGCTGTAGTGGCACTAGAACTGGGGTAATGTCCCGTTTATGTTGTAGTGCTTTAGCAGTTAGCCTTTATAAATAGGAAATGCAGCAAAATATGTCAATTTTAGGATATTTTTATGATGTCTCTGCTATTCTACCTTAGGTTTTCCCTGAAGAATGTTTTGAAACTTAAATTTCAGACACATGATGCTTTCAAGTGAAATTCAAGTAGCATTTGTATTAATTCTTTTATTTATTTATTATTTTTTAGTTTTACATATTAGCACTTCCTTTATCTTTGAACTCTAATATATATGTGTGTGTGTGTGTGTGTTTTCTTGTGTTAGTAATCATCATCCTTTCTTGATACTAACTGAGGGATTCTTCTTACCAGAAACCTTTTGTGCCCAAGAGGTACTACTCGATAGATCGAGTCTTCAGAAATGAAGCTGTGGATCGCACTCATCTCGCAGAGTTCCACCAGATAGAAGGTATCTAACAATGAATGAAATAATGTCAGTAATGTTCATTGGGGTGCAACTCCATTCATGTTGATGTTGGGTCATTTTGGCGTCAAAAGCTACATTGAATTTGGTTGAAATCATTGTATAAAATAAAAATAAAAAAACACTGATCTATGTTGAGTACTTGAGTCTAGAATTGTCATCACCCTGTGGTCCTTTGTTTTTTTTTTTTGACAAGTCACCCTGTGGTCCTATGTTGCCAACCTGAGGTCAGATTTTGTTTAAAGTTGGCTACATTGTAAATGAAACTAAATGTAATGATATTCTTAATACAAGTCACTTAATTCAGGCACTTAATAGACATGCATGATCTTCTCAAAAGGTACCCCTCAAGAAAATAAATAAATAAAAATTTAACTGAGCACAGGAGGGAACATTAATTTCATCGTCTTTTGGGTTGATCCAATTGCATCCCTGGCTCACTAAAGTCGTTGACCTGATGGGCAAGCAACAGGGAATTCCTTATGTTGAATTATTTCATTCAATTCATATTCCTTTTTTAAATAAAAATCCATGGTCATAAGTGGGGCCATGGCGCAGGATTTTCACGTGAAATTAGAATTGGTGAAAACTAACCTGATTTCATAAACTATGGTGACTGCGGCAGTTTTTTTCAGTGGTCCGGCTAGATAATGTATTTGTCATTAACATGATGTGAAAAATAATCAACTTCAATGATATACTAAGGCCCCCTGACTGATTTCTTATGCTCTTTGATGAATTTTTGACCTACATGAATGCTTGATTTTGCTTTCAGGTCTAGTGTGTGATCGAGGGCTTACTCTTGGTGATCTGAAAGGAGTTCTGAGTGATTTTTTTTCCCGTCTTGGTAACTCCGCTGAACATTTGGTTTATGTGCCTTTGTAATTTATGGATTAAACTTTCTATTTGTCATGAATAATGTATTTCACATGAAAAATCAAATAACAATGAGGATATTGTGATCTTGAAGAATATAAGCAACAACTGTAAGGTGAAATAAGACACTTATTTTTACATCTCTTATGTTCAGGTATGTCCAAACTGCGTTTCAAGCCTGCTTACAATCCATACACTGAACCCAGCATGGAAATATTTGGGTAGTTAATCATAATTTTTATTAGATTGGGTTGTTCCTTGTCTTGAAGTCAGCAGCTAGATTATTTGATTTTTGGTTGTAGCTGGCAACTAGATTAATTGGCTCGAATTTGTACAGTTATCATGAAGGCTTAAAGAAATGGGTGGAAATTGGAAATTCTGGCATGTTTAGGCCGGAGATGTTACTCCCTATGGGACTCCCAGAAGATGTTCGGGTTATTGCATGGGGCCTCTCCCTTGAAAGGTAAGAATTGTTTTCATCTTCATCATCACTAATGAAAAAAGAAAGCTGATGAATCAGAATGACATGAATTATGTTGAATACTTCAATATGTTTGATATAGTGCAAGGGGAATTGGGAGAAACACAGTTCATGTATTTGTTTAACAATTGTGTGCTTAATTTTAATTCTTTCATCTTTGGACCAGACCAACCATGATATTGTACAAGGTTGATAACATCCGAGATCTCTTCGGCCACAAGGTACACTTTTTTTGCTTGCACAAAGCTATAAAAGCAGTTTTTTTTCATGTGAAAAAAGGAAAAGAAGGGATCCATTGTAATTATCTTAATTTTTGGTGTCTGCAGGTGGATCTTAGTCTCATCAAGAGAAACCCAATATGTCGAATCGGGATCGAGTAGAATGCTGAGCGATCATTGCAGTATATTTTCCGACAAAATTTTCTTTTATAGAGTCTTTTCCTTGCAAGAACAGCTCGGGAAATTTGACACCATATTTAAGCAAGGAAACACCAATGGAATGGACACCATATTCGAGTGATTCATTGCAAGGTAACACCAATGGACACCTTATTGATCAACCGTCGAAAGCCAGAGCTGGTTGACATGTAAGTACTATTTGGTGGTCGCTTGGATTGCAATTTTTCTTACAAAGGAAATGGGTTTGGAGCTGAATATATTGTAAAGCTCTCAGCCATGTAATGTGATACTTTGCGGATGCATTTTAAACGTTTGGGTCATTTATTTTTTCGTACTTCTTATAAATTCTCTTTATTACCATAATTAACCCAAGCTAATAGCAATCTTTCAAGTCGTACTTCAAACTTTCACTTATTCATAAAAATGCCACCATCAAGCGAAGTATTTCAATCCTTAGCTGACCAAGGCATGGCACTAACCCTTCATTTGGCCCATCCCTCAACTTTCAACATGCATCCAAAGATCATAAAAGGGCTTGATGCCTAATAGCTTCCCTAGACCATCTTAGGTTGTTGGGCTTGTACCCTTCGAAGGGAGTCTTAGAATTTATTTTCAGATGTCGTGTGTTGCGCCCGGACTTTTCGACCCGCACTATTATGATGGGTAAAGTTTTGGAAAAATATAAATACTTTTATAGGGAATGGTGCGAATTGAAATGTCGATTCAATGGGCAAACATTACTTGACGTAGATTTATGGAGTAGCCACCTAACATTGATTTTCGGTGTGTTAGGTCACCTCACGAGTATAGATTTCAGATTTATATGATTTTTCAAATTTAATCAAAGATATATTGAAAAAGGCCCTTTTCGATAATAACTCCATATAATTCTACGTAACTGAGATTCATGAGAGCGGGGCACTCCTGACGCATCCGTAAAATATTGCGGTTACTAAATTCTAAAATAATATTCTCATATCTTTATCCCTTCAAAATTCATAAAATGTTGCAACGAAAAAAGGAAAGAAAAAAAAATTGGTTTTTGAAATTATATATAATTCACATAGGCATTTATCAATGTCTACCGAGTGGCCGGATTTGGGGCTAAATAATTCTATATTCAACCGATGTTAATTTTAGGTTTTTATAAAATCATGAAAAATGTATCACCCCATATTGGTCACCCCAGCCTAATCCTCGTCTTAATATGCACTACCTCGAAGGTTAGACCTGAGCTTCAAGAGATGGAACGAAGGAAATTGGCTAAAAAAATGAATTAGGGAATTTAGTAGAGGCCAAGAGAGACTACCTTGTTTCTCTACCCCCACTCTCTCCATTTCTTAAACTAGGACATAGACATACCCTAGGTGATCATTTCCACAATTAAGGCATAGACACACCCTTAGGTAACACATTTCACAATTAAGATATAGACACACCCCTAGGCAAACATTTTTCACAATTAAGACATAAACACACCCTTAGATGTCATTTTGCTCGAACTAGAAAATCACACATCCTTAGATGTCTTTTTCCTCAAACTATAACCTATACACACCCTTAGATGTCATTCTTCTTAAGACAAAACATGTTAACTTCCCCTAAACGTGGTATGGAACTACATTTGACCTGATTTATCCATAGATAGGATGCAAAGGCAGCCTAAGTCATAATTAGGTTCGGTCACTCCATCCATGGGATTGTATTACTTCTCATTTTCATGTCAAAACCCTCACCTTCTATGAAGGTCATTTTCATGTCAAAACTCTCGGATTCTAAAAAGGTCATTTCCTATGTCGAAACTCTCGCATTCTGAAAAGGTCATTTTCTACATCAAGAGATTATTATAATACATTCTCATTCCCACCATGGTGGGGAAGTACATTTGATTTAATTCTTGCACGCTTTAAATAGCTGCTGGGATACGTAGGTATTTTAGATAATTCCAAGTTCGGTTGAGAAGCGACATCAGTCACACTTAAGTTTATTCACCGCATCTATAAGACCTTATTTTCAAAACACCTCATCGTTTTCAAAACACACATCTTAATTTAGAGCACATTTTAGTCATTTTAATCATTCTAAGAACTTTGAAGTTCTCTAATTTTAATCATCCTTTTTAGTCAGATTCCAAAATCCTTAGATTCACATTTTAGTCAAGTTCTCTTAAGTTTACCTTAGATTGAACTTCGGTCGTCCTGACTCTTGTTACGTCATGCATGATTGAGATACATAAGCAACTCGAGTAGGTCTCGGGTTCAGTCATACCACATTATCATTTAAACTCCAAATCCATTTTTCTTGGGTCCAAATGATCATTTTTCAAGGCACATTATAAGCAACATAGACAAAGTAAGTAACCGTACTTGGTAAGAGCGCCTTAGGGTGCCTAACACTTTCCCAGACGTAAGCAAACTCCCGAATCCATTGGTTTGGTTGACGCAAACTAGTTGAGAGGCACACAAGGGCCCACACTCTAATCTAATAAACATTTTGATGTCACATTCTATTACATTATGTGGTGACTCCAAACACGTAAGACATTGGCCCTACAATAAGACAAACCTAAGGCCTGTACCTATTCTATCATACTTGGGTTATTAATTTAGCCTTTTGGGCTTCCACAACGGGTCTTCACATGGGGGAGAAGCTTGGAGTCTAGCCCGGTGGAAATTTTGGGTCTCGACAACCCAAAGCCTAGCCCAAACTTTGTCACCTAATTAAGGTAGAACTAGGTCTGCAAATTAGCCGAACCGAGTCGAGCCAATTTTTGGATTGTTCGGGCTCGGCTTGTCACTTCTAGATGGTTGCTCAGGCTTGACTCAGGCTCGGAACGAAGCTCAAGCTCGATAGAATTTCAGTAAGCTCGGGCTCGGCTTAGCTCAGGCTCACATACAGGCCCAACGAATCACTACAATGATAAATCATTGTAAATCTCTATGTCCGTAACGACCCGAACCCGAGGGTTCGAATCACTAACCGGGTCCTTATCCGAACTCAAGATCAACTAAGGATACTGCCGTCATTTCTTACGTCAATACAAAATATACGTGTCATCTTAGAGTTTTAAAAAAAATATAGTGATAGCAATAATAATAAAAAGAGATCATAGCTACAAGATATGTCAAAGCAGTCCACTAACCCATCAAACTCTGTGGAGGAGCATCGTCCGCCACTTCCTTCCTATAACCTGAAAAATGCTAAATATATGGGGTGAGCAAATTGTTCAGTAGGTGGTGCCTAAGACACACTTCTTGTGACCCCGTAAATCCAAATAAGGAATAGGAAAAAGAACCGGGATCATGCCATTACCAGAATAAATATAACAACAATATCAACAACAATAATCCAAGTCGTAACAAACCATGCCATGCTATGGAATGCAATGTCATGTGTATCACTCCCTGTTCCGAAACATTTCCGTTTCAACCTCCAAACCGTTAGTGTAATATGAGTCAAGGCACCTCCAAGGCGTCACGAAAGGAGGATTGGCCAACCATCCACGACCACAAGGCACCTCTAAGGCGTCGCATTCGGCCTAATTAGCTCAACCATACTCCTCTCTAGACTACATTAACACCACGGACCACTAGGCGCCTCCTAGGTGTCCGGTTTTCGCAAACACTATTAGAAAAACTTTTTCCCAAAAATAATTCCATTTATTTTAAAAACAAACTTTTCCCTTTACTTTCCCAATGACAATGCATGAATTATGCAATTCCTTCAATGCCATGACAATATAGAATTTCATACATTTTATCCGCATCATTTAAGCATGTTTTAAAACATGAATTTTCACACAATACCGCATTCTCATATTTCCAAATCATGACATTTTAAATACTTTTAATTAGCAAATCCAACAATTAAATTCTACATATTCCATCAACGTCATATTCACATTTTGAGAAGAAATTCTAAATTTATTTCTACAATTAATAATCCCAATTTTACATTTATTTTTACAACCAATAATCCCAATTTTTCATTTATCTACACCAATTAACATGCTTCCATTTAACAATTTCTAGTAAGTTACTAACACCATAGGCATGAGAAATTAACGCGTAAACATGCTTTCCACATAGTAAGTTTTAAACAATTTATCAAGCACACAAGCATATAAAACCAACATTTAAGCATATTTTTCATACAAATTTACTTATACACATAATCATGAATTCCATATACAAAACCAAATTATTTTAGAGGCATTCATCTCAAATTAGTCATGCTTAGCTATAATTAACAAAGAATAATTCAACCCCTACCTCAAATTGTAGAAAACCCCTCAAAATGGGTCTAAAAACTCGAAATCCTAGGGGAGGCCAAAACTAAAATTGCTTGTACTCACACGTAAATCTCGTTGTGCTCTCCGTTTTGCCGCAAACGGCATCCAAAAATTCCCACAAATGAGGGAGTAATCAAATTTTGAAGCCTTGAAGCAAGGTGAAAAGAAAATGAAATAGAAAAGAAGGAAGGAAGGTGGTGCCAGGAAGAGGAAGAGAGAATAAGAGGCTAAGTGGCCTCTTGGCCACACAAATCATATTAGTGGTGGGTCCCACCACTAAAACCTCCTTTTGACTTTTCTATTTAATTTTACCACATACACCTACACATATAAATATAACTTACAACCATTACAATCTACCCTCCTTAAAAGATTTTGTCCTCAAAATCTAACCTCCTTAAAGGAAGAGACCCACAACCACACACCTTCCCGAGAACACCTCACAAAACCCTAAAACCATAAACTCACCAACATTATTGCCTTTGACACCAGACGTCACCAAACAATCACACACCATTGTCACAAAAACACAATGCTCACCACCCTATGAGGGTACTCATCACTCATAACATCATACACAAAACCCACTGGATTCTACACTTGACTTAGAACCAACACTGATCCCCTCTTCACCGCTACACAAGGCTTCGGAGCCCGAAAGAAGAATGGTCATAAGACCCCTGAACATGACAACATCCTAACTCAACTCATCCTTTAAAGGATATATAAAACCCCAGACAAGGAACCCTATCCATCTCACAATAAAGCTCAAACTTAATCTACATGTCATTATCAAACCAATACTCACCATCTAACACACATCTACACCATCACATAATCTTACCAACGACCACCAACTGCACCATACGTCAATCATTACACTTAACAACCTTAAGACAACTGAATAATGAATCTCCCAACAACTACATAATCAAAAGTCTCCAAGACAATAAAACAAATTATCATGCACCCAGGTCACAAATCCTCAAAACAAGATCCTCAGTAATCAATGATTGTACCACAAACCCGTTATTGGACACTTA